ATCTTGGCTCTGCAATTTTACACTGTGTGACCTTGATAAGTTTAGCTTCTTTTCCACATAGTTTCTCCAACTGTAATGGTGAGACAATGATACCCAACATTGTCCTTTGGGGAACAAATCTACTTGATCATCTCTTTTCTGCTTTCCTTATGAGTCAAGATTAAGGTCAAGGAAGAGAACCGATGGGCTTCCAAAACACATTCTAATGGTATATTTTATAGGACTGGAGTGGACTATATAAATGTCGTGTCTCTTTCTATTCCTTCCACAGGGACTGTGAGTCACATCTCAGGGCAGTCAAAGGGCTTGTTTACTCTCCTCTTCTCTCCTCTCCTTGGATGCTATTCTCTCTTGCAGTATAAGCCCAGCCCAAGGCTATTCTGGTCTGCAAGAGACGGTTGCTTAAGCCAGCTGGCTACCAGGCAATGGGACAAACTCACTCTGTGGCTGGCTGTCTCTTGCTCCTTCCTTTTCCCTTGTAGTCAGTGATTGTGCCCTTAGTATCCTTTCGTCACAGGGCACTAGTTCGGCTCTGACACTCAGCTTTGGGTTAGGATATACTGACAGACGGCTAAGGCTAAGCTTAGGTAAAGGAGTTCCCCACAGTGTCTAGACTCATTTACTGACATTTTTCAAAGGTCTTTGAATTCAGAACCCCAGTTAATCATGAATGCCAGTTTGCTTTCCTTTGATTGGGCATTTCTTTTAAGGACCTTCTAGAAGACAGGAATGGCTGAGGGCAGGATGCAGCTGACCACCATCATAACACCACCCTAATAAGAGCCGAGTGACGCCCACTTTCCACATTTTAAGAGGATTAAACGATACAATGCATAGAAAAATACAGCTAACATGTGCCTGGCGATTGAGCACCAACTAGTGCCCAATCAATGCTCATTTCCCTCCCACCCCATACCCTTTCCCTTATTAATTAGAAAGTTAATATAAGAAAGAAACCCAATGCAAAGTTGAATGTGGCTTTTCATTTTGCTGCCACCCCTACAGTACAGTCATTCAGACCTTCCAGGAGCTATACATAGTTAACAGCACATCAGAGTGCAACTTTCCTTCCAGAAGAGTTATGATTCTGGAAGTGAAGGGTATGGTGCTAAATGTAATCTGTGCATGGAATTCCTGAGTCCTCTGTTCCAAAAGTCCCTTTCTCCTTCACAAGTTACAAACTACACCTTTGCTTTACTAATTACTTTTTGCTAGAGACCACAAGAAAAAAATGCATCATGAAAATACTTTGCCAGGTTTATCCCTGGTTTTTCCTTAAATGTTTTCAAATATGAAGCTTTTGAATTCTCAATGTTTTTAATGGTCATATAATTTTTCATGTTTTTTTTTTTACCATGGTTTCTCCATATTGTACATTAATGATGACTATTTACTGTATTCAAAGTTCTTTGCTAGGTGCTTAACATTTAACAACTCTATAAACTAGGTAATATTCCCTTATTTCATGATGACAAAATTGAGGTGAAGAGAGATATAGAAACCTGTGTAAAGTCACAAAGCTTGAGAATCTAAAATCTGGATACTGTTTTGGAAAATACTTGCACATTTGAAAAGACAGCAAGGACACATCTCCCTTTTCCTCCCCAAATGCATACCAAGAATAATTTGCTAAAAAGGACACATAAGGGAGTGTCCTGAGATCTTAAGAGTCTGTTGGGTTTCCCCTTTGTGTTCTCCTAACATGAAAGGAGTTACCCAGAACATAGTGGAAGGATATCAGACTGCTTTGTCCAGGGTAAAACTAACCAGTCCTGCAGCTAGAAAATGCATTCCTGTTGAGGCTTTCAAAGACAGCCTCTATCTGTCTCTATCAGCGACAGTCTAGTACAGTAGAAAGGATCTTGGAGTCAGAAGACTTTGATTCTGTTCTGGCTTGGTAACTGAGTAGCTTTGAATTTTTTGACAACTACTCTAGGCTCTCATTTTCTTCATCTATAAAATAGGGAAAATAATAAGATACACATACCTCAAAGGTGTTCTGAACATCCACTGAGATAGGTTTGTTCATATACTGCCTCATTTATCTAAGTTATTTACTGTCTCTTTCCTCACTATTATGTAAATTCCATGATATCAGGGAACTAGTCTGTATATTTCACTATATCTCCAAGGCATGGAACATTGTCTGGCACATAGCAAATGGGCCAAAAATGTTTGCAGGATGAATGAACTGTGTATACCGTAAAGCATAAAAAAAGGCTGATTATTATTAGTATTATTGTTAAATTTTGAGATAAACAAAGTGTATTTTTGCATTAGATATTAACTTTTCACAAATATCAATACTTTTAGCCAGAAGTAAAATCAGGCAGTCAACATTTAAGTTCAAATGATGATCTTATTCCAATTTTTTGATGTTTCCCTTGAAATAATTACTAGGTTTTTTTTTCTACATGATATCTGATATTAGCATTTAAATCACATGAAGTGAAAATGGTGAGGTTTCATTTCTTGTTACTAATTTTTGTAACCTCCAAGAGGGTTTCTTGGTTTTGCTGATTATTCTGCAACTTCCAGGTTCTCTCCAGATGTGAAGAAAATTGCTTACTTGGTTGAGATGCTTGTACTTACTTGATGAAGTACTTGATTCCATCTGCTGTGTAAGCTTCCTCCCACCCGTAAGGTAGACCTAGAGTGAAAGAAAACCAAAAATACATTTAATAAGATGATAAAGATAACTTTATTTCCTGGACATGAACTTCCCACATCTTTACAATTATTTGAGCACATTTCTTTTACAAAATAATTTTCTAGAAAGGAGGAATTAAAACAATTCAGAGGAGCTTTCATATTCAGCATCTTGAGAACACAATAAATAAGTCTTGAACAGTTAACAATCTGCTTTAGTTGCATTAACTGGATTATGACTTGTCATTTACATGTGGTGAGCATTTTTGTCAGCAGGATTCAAGCAGAAATCTTTGGTGCCGGGGATGGTTTTTGCCCGGAGGCAAAAGGATGGACAAGATGGCCTCTCCTTGTTTCTTCTGGCTCAAAGTTTCTTTAATTGGCTCCCTTTACATTCTTTCACTCAGCTCCACAGGGAATCAGTGCATGAGTGCCAGATCAGCAGGGGTTTGAAAGTAGCTTCTGGACAACACAAAATTCCTTATAAAGTTTGAAAGTTTAGCAGAGTGATTTACAATGGATTGTGGTATTTTATTTTGTTAATTAAGAATTTTGTGTACTAAACATAAATGGCCAAACGGTTTGCTAAACTTAGCTTCCATTTCTGTAATGGGCTTGAGAATAGTTAGCTATAAAGAGATGCAGATTGAAGTAAGCAGGCAATTATTTGGTCATATTTCTGTAAATGAGTACATTTTTGTCCTCATCATACCAAGAAAACAGGTCCGTGTTGAGGCAGCCACCTTCTCTTATATTCTAATTAGAAGCCCCTAGAATACAATGGTTTCCATCCTTCTCCTCCACCCCCGAGGGCTGCTAAAGATTTTAACTGACCTTTTGGATCAGTTGTTTGATACTGGCTTATCAAGCTCCTTTGATGGGCATAAACCACATCAACACACTAAAGAACAGACTCCATGGCTCAGGTAGCCTATATCTTTAGAAAGTTACTGAGCTATAACAACAAACCACTGACTTCCATTTCCCCAAGTCTCAGCAAGACGCAGAGCAAAAATGCAGGAACAGTACCTATTTGAATGATGTAAAACCCTACTCTATCACCATTCGCTTTGTAGAGAATATTCTCTGAGAACAGCTCTAAGGATGTTGTTTTCATAATCTAGAAAAACAAAAGCTTTATTTTATATCTATCTCCAGTCTTTTAACATAAGTTGTATAAAATAAGCCCTTGGCCAAAAATTCTATAACTATTTCCTTTGTAGATTAACACAGGCCACCAAGGAATTTCTTTTCTCTCTTAACGAATAAATGTTCCTTTTTTAAGTAGAAAATAAGCACTTCTGGGAACTCAGCATAAGCAAATGACTGGCTTCTTAAAAGCCCCTGAAGTGACACTATATACATCTCCTCCAGGATCCACTGCCAGCACACGCCCAGCCAGACAGGCCAGGATAAACTGCCGTTACTGCACTAATTCTCGTAGGTTCATTTGCTTTCTTCACACTTTCTGCATCTTTGTTACAGATAACTTTTTTCATCACTGACAAGCCCATAACCCGCAGGGAAGAATCTGACGACTGTACACACCAACGTTGATTTCATGACAAAAATGCTCAGAAATACCAGGATTTCTGATTAATAAGGCAAAGACAGCTAAAAGTTAAGAAGAAAGTCATTCTAATGTGACTAAGATTTTTGTCTAAATGACTTATTTGTCTGTCCAGCACAATTATATCCACACTTCTGATTTGTTAATTCACAGATTTTTTTAATGAAAAGGAAAAAAAAAAGTACACTTTAAAGATAGTATCGTTTAATCCAAAGGATCATTTGAAAATCGAGATTGACTTTGGGATACCACATTACCTGGGCCATCAGAATAAAATTCTTGCCCTGATTATTTTCTTACAACTATTAAACAAGGACTATAACTTCACAATAGACTTATTAAAGGTACTAATTCATATCCATTTAAGTCAAAATGGTTATTCAATGACCGTAGGCATGAAGATATTCGTGTGTATTAAATAATATGTATAGCTTATTTTAGGATAAATTCTCTGTTCTGAAAAAATAAGCATTTCTTTTTAGAAACTGAACAGCTTCTTCTTTCCCATGCAGTTAATATAATCTGTAAAAAACAGACTTGGAGACTAAATTGATAGTAACTATCTCTCAGTGATAGTTCAGTAATAGAAAACACAATCACTGTCCAATTATAAAATGAAAAACACAATATATTGATAAACCAAATAGCCTACTTTATATAAAAAGAGCACTTTTGATTTTTTCCAAGGTTATATGATTATGATGGACTCAGTTTTCCATAGTAAAGATTTTCATTTCTTCATAATAAGTGATTTGGGCATCATTATAACATATTATCTAAATACTTTTCAATTATCATTATTGTTCCAAGGCATTAAAATTTTTCTACATTCCTCATATCTTTACACTTGCAAATATATAATGCTTTTATTTTTCCTTTTCTTTTCATATTTATTTTAAAATTGTTATGACAACTATAATCACCTGAAATCGTTTCTGATTGGCAGTGTTTCTCTACGAACCCTCACATAACATTCTTTCCATCAGAGATCATCTGTTTCCAATCAACTGCTTCATGGTGATAACTCCAAAATCTTATGAGTATCTTGCCAAAGTAAAAATATTGTATATATTCAGCTTAGAATACTGGCTGTCACCTAAAACTCAACATATCCAAAACCAAACTCATCAGATTTCCACACAAAATAGTGCCCTTCCAATTTCCCAGTCTATTTATGTATCAAAAGTCTCTTTGTCACATTTGGCCCATTTATTAAATATTCATAGATCATTTATTACGTGTTCAGTATTTTACTTGGTGCTTGATATACAATGATGAACAAATAAACATGGACCTTGATCTTATGGAGCTTTAAAAAATAATCATAAATAAAGATACCATTAAAAATAAGAATAAGCACTATGAAGAAAAGGTATTGAACACTATGAAAGAGTAACTCATAGCACAGAAAGGCTAAATTCCCCAATACATAAATAACCCCTACAAATCAGTAAGAAAAAGGTCAATGACAAAGAGGAGTCTGTGGAACATTTGGGACACAGGAAACACAAATGCACTTAAACATAGGAAAATATGCTTAACTTCTAATAATAGAAATACCAATTAAACTATTAAGAGATGCCATGTTCATCATGTTAGCAAAGAATAAAAAGTAGTTTGATAAGACTGTATCGAGGGTTTGAAGAGGCAGTCATTCTCATACTGATGGAAGTACAAATTGATAACATATTTAGGGGTAGAAACTTGTCAATATCTAACATCTTTTTTTTCTTTTTTGAGGAAGATGGGCCCTGAGCTAACATCTGTTGCCAATCTTCCTCTTTTTCTTATTTCTCCCCAAAGCCCCAGTACATAGTTGTATATCCTACTTGTCGGTCCTTCTAGTTCTCCTATATGGGACGCTGCCACAGCATGGCTTGATGAGCCACGAGTAGGTCTGCTCCCAGCATCTGAACTGGTGAACCCCGGGCTGCCGAAGCGGAACGCGCAACCTTAACTGCTACACCACCAGGCCAGCCCCATCTAAAATCTTCAACGCTAGTAACAGTTGACATTTATTGAGTAGTTATGTGTGAGACACTGTTCCAAGCACTATACATGTACCAACCCACGAAACCTCACAACAATTCTAAGAGAGGTGCCATTGTGATGCCCCTTTTACAAATGAGGAAACTGAGGCAGGGAAAGGTTAAATCACTGGCCCCAGGTTACACTGGCAGGTGGTAGAGCCCAGACTCTTCACTACGACTGCTGAACTGTCTCCATGGACCATTTAATCCAGAAATTCTTCTAAGAATTTATCCTATAGATATGCTTTATATACAAGATTGTTAATTGTAAAAACAAAAGATGGGAAATAATCCCCATCAGTCCCCCGTTGGGGACTGATTAACGGGGGACTGATTAAATCAAGACAATATATATATCCAGATAATGGGCTATTATCCAGCTGTGAAAAAGAATGAGGAAGTAATTTAAGTAATTTGGACAAGGGGGTGTAGTGTCAAGGAAGGATCTTTGGAGGAGCTGGAGTTATCCAGGTGCAGACATGGGGAAGAACACTCTAGATGAGTGAACAGCATGTGCAGAGGCTCTAGGAATGGGGAAGAGCTGGGCACACCTGAGGAACCGAGAGATCACTGTCACTGGAGCATAGTGAGTGAGGGAGGAGAAGAGTGATACAAGATTTGGTTGGAGAGACAGGCAAATATGACTACACAGAGTTTTGCAGGCCATATTAAAATTGTTTGAAAGTTTCTTAAAAAGGAAGCGGGAGATCTGCTCCTGTTTAAGATGAAGAAAACTGCAAGAGAATGTTGCTCCCACCATATGTGGGGAAAAGCTGCACAACCTAAAAAGATAATTTTTTTTGAGTTCCCCAGAGACTGAGTTCCTCACCTCAGCTGACCTTCAGGTGAACTGAATTTCAAAGGGTGACAAGCCCCTCTGAGGAAAGATGGGGCACATGAACTCTTTCTCTTCTGGCAGAGCACAGGAAGAAGAGGAGCTGCCATAAAAGTGGGTAAGAGGAAAACACCTAAAATTGTAACAAATTTGTAAAGCCTTGATGATGGGCTAGTATGACAGGTTAGTGTCCCCGGGAGCCCAGACACAAGGAGAGCCTGCTCTCCCTAAACAGCTCTTTGCTCACGAGAAAGACTCCGGGAGGGTAGGAGACCTGAGGGAGCCCCCTAGTGCAGGCTGATGCAGGATGTGCAAAGGTTCGAGGGTGGAGCAGGCATACATACCATCCATGCTCTGGGCCCTGCATGAGTACCAGATGGTGCATAATTGCTACGGGGGGACAGGCATAAAACCTGCAGATGCCTGGTCTCCTCCTCTGATATGAAGGAACAGCCGGCTGCTGTTAGGAGAGAAATGAGAGACACTCCCACGCTCTGGACAGGACTTTGAGTGACAGGAGGCAAAAGTCATCTGCTCCTGGGGAAGGGGCAAGAAATCATCACACC